CGGCATGAAATAATTCGTAATTAAATAAATTATATTGTACATATTAATTAAAACCTTTTATCAATGTTATTTAATATCTTCATTTTATTTTAGCATATTATCATTTTTTCGACAAATGTAGARTATTATATTGGTACGTGAAATAATTGAAGTTATTTTTGAAATTATTGAGGTTATGTYCGTTTTGGGTACGCTAAAGAAATATAACTTYTTACGTGCGTACATAAGTACACACATCAATATTTTCTTTCATATTTTTTCTCTCTGTCTTTGTGAATAAAATAAGTCTATACATTTTCATAAACTTATATCGAAAATTAAATAAACTTATAACATACCATAATCATGTTTACTTTCCGATTATGAACATGTTTTATGACACTTCATTTCAATCTTATCAACACTTTCCACAACTTCACATCATTTCTCACATTTCAATTTATTTCAGAGTGGATAAAAAAAAATAATTCGTTAATTTTTCATAATATAAGATACATAAGCGTTTGGATTAATATAATAATTAACGCGCTATTATTATTATTCACCTAATTATTCAACAGTTAAATAGAACAATCGAATAAAAGTGAAGGATCAAAATGTAGATATATATTTTTCACGTGGGTGCACCTGTGGAAAACTTGCATGCAGTATTCTGGCTTATGTTAGTACTAGTATCTACCAAGATGAGATTGTGAGAGTGTAAGAGAGAGAGAGAGAGAGAGAGAGAGAGATAGTTTATCATTTCATGCAAGTTCTACATGACCGATGACGTTTCCGAGACGTGTGTAGCAAAGGGCGACCAAGAACTGAAGCAACTGTTGCATCCCTTATTTTCCTTTCCCTTTCCCTTCCCTTCTCTCCTAGTTTCTCTCTCTCTCTCTTTCTTTCTTTCTTTCTTTTATCTCCTTTAACTTCGTCGTCTACCTATTTTCCCTTTCGGTATTCCACAGACTTCGAGTGTCTCGAAATTTATCTGGATTTCTTAACGGCCTTTCCTTTTGTACTCGGTTTAAATTGCTTTCCTTCTCCCCTCACCCCAACCTCTCTCCATACCCCCTTCCCCCTAGCCCTGCCCATTCCCCTCCTACCACTGTTACCGCTCGTGGTGGGAGTAAATTAAATTCTTCAACGTCTACGAACGCAAAAGATCGAACAATTATAACGGGTTGGTAAGAAAAAAGGGGGGTGGGTGGGTGGTGGGAGGGGGTTGGAGGCAGCGGGATAAAAGTTAAGTTATATCTCGTTGGTTGAATATTTTTGAAGTATTTATATTGTGTCGTAAAGATAATTTGTAATGAAAATGATCAAAGTGTGGTGTGGTTTGGTAATGAAAAATTCGGTTACAGAAAGATAAAAGAAAATTAGCGAAAATTAACGTTAGATTTAGGAATGTTTCGTGTGATTATTTCTTAATGACTCGCAAATATCGTTTGAATGAGGAAGGGTTGAGTAGAGGGAGAAGGAATTAATATTGAAAAAAGTCCAATATATGTTTTTGAAAAATAATATTAAAGTTTTATATATATAGGTATGGTAGTGAAATTTTGAGTTTGTCAAATGGGCACAGTCTGTAA